CCCCTCACACGCAGGCTCAGCACCACCAGGCTCTACACCCTCAAGCTCCGCACCCTCAGGCTCAGCACCCCCAGACTCAGCACCCCCAGGCTCCGCACCCCCAGGCTCAGCACCCCGAGCAGGACCACTCGCAGGAGGACCTGAGTCACCAGTGACCTCAACCGGCGCAGTCAAGGGAGGAGGGTCTACCTGAGAAACACCTGAAGGAGCAGGACCGGGAGCGGGGAGGGGGTCTACCTGGGGAGCACCTGGAGCAAGGAAGAGAGGCGGGGGGGGGAGCGAGGCAGTGCGGTAGGGGAAGAGACGGTAAAAGGGAACCGACTCGTCGAACGTGACGTCCTGAGACGCAAAGACACGGCGCGAGGTGGGGTGGTAAAACTGCCAACCAGGCGCGTCAGGGACAAAGCCAAGGAAGACACAGGGAACAGCGCGGGCGGAGAGCTTGTCCGCGGTGGTATCGCGGACAAAGGCACGAGCACCCCAGACCCGGAAACGCGACGCATCGCCAACCTTCCCCGTCCACAGCAGTGTGGGCGAGGTCTCCGGCAAGGAGACACGGGGCCAGAGGTTGAGCTGATGCGCGGCGTACCGGACCGCAAACGGCCACAGAAAATGGGGGGCAGCCGCATGGATCATGGAGGTACGAGCGACCTCCATGACTAAGCCAATGCGGCGCTCAGCAACCCCATTCTGCTGCGGAGAGGCCGGAAGCGTGAACGACTGGGTGATGCCGTGCTCCGCACAGTAGGCTGCCAAGAGGTCGGAGGAGAACTCACCACCTCTGTCAGAGTGCAGACGCAGGACAGGAAAGTCCGACCGGAACCGCTCGCGGAGCTGGAGACGAACAGCGCGGATCCAGGGGATCAAAACAGCAGGGACGTCCCCCTTGCTCTGCAAGGGGAAGACCGTGGTGTAACGCGTGTAGTCGTCGACGACCAGCAGGAAGTACCGCTCGCGGCCCTGTCCCTGGACGCGGGCTGGGCCCCACACGTCCAGGTGGAGCGTCTGCAGTGGAGCCTCTGTGGGAGGAAACGAGGAGGAGTGAGGAGCGGCGCGCTGCCGCCCCTCGATGCAAGGAATGCAGGGCGGCGCAGGCGAGGGAGGGAGGGCAGGCAGGGACCTGGGAAGACCAGAGACCAGGGAGCGAGAGTGCATGCTACGCAGGCGAGGCAAGGAGGGGTGACCAAGGCGGTGGTGCCACAGGAGAGTGTCGTGCGACAAAGCGCGACACTCGCAGGGGGCCGCCAGCTGACCAGACGCAGACGCAAACGCAGACGCAGCTACCTGAGGGGACTCAGTGGTCAGTGTGTACAGACTCGAGCCAGGTGCACGGGTGAACGTGGCCAAGTGCCGGCCCGTCCTAGCACACGTACAGTGAGTCACTCGCTGACTCGCAGGAGTGAACTGGTCAACCCCCCCATCCTGGAGGTCAGCTCCACTCACCAAGTTCGTAGAGAACGAGGGGAGGTAAAGACCTGACAGCGAGCCGGACGGGACGGCCGGACACGGCAGAACCGTGGAATAGTGGGCAAGGACTGGACCCCCAGAGGGGTCCGCCAGGGAGACCGGGACTGGCCGACGGAGCGGCGTGAGTGCGGTGCAGTCGCGAAAGAAGGAGCGGGAAGCTCCTGAGTCAAGGGTGAAGGTGTGCGAGACCGCAGTGGGCGCAGTACCAGAGAGAGCAGACACAGCAGCACCTGATGCCACGGCCTCACCAGTACCTAGAGTAGTAGACGTACTAGCACCGAGAGCAGCAGCCTCACCAGCACCTAGAGCAGGAGACGCACTAGCACCTAGGGCAGCAGCCTCACCAGGGTCAGGCGGTACGCACAGGCAACAGGCACGGTCAGCACTAGTAGACAATGCATACATGGCAGTGAGAATAGCATCATAGTCAAGCGCAAAGATATCTACCCTCTGTCTATGCAGCTCCAGCCAGGTGGGGAGCTCAGCCTCGTCGCCAAACACTGTGCGCCAGTCGTCGCTCAGACGGGCGAAGCAGCGGGACTGTGTGTGACCAAGCGTCCCACAAGGCTGACCAGTCCTAGCACCTGTGCGAATGACGTACGGGCAGCGGACTGTACGCGTAGACCTGCTACACTGAGCGTACCACTCCTGGAGCTGCCGGGGCGTAAGTGTCTCACGTGGACGTCCCTGCAGCTGCAGCTGGCCACTGCCAGACGCTCCCAACTGACCAGCTCCAGGGCGACAGCTACGACGGCTACCGCGACAACCCCAGCTAGTATACCACTCACTAAGCTGCTGAGGCGTCAGAGGCTCGCGTGAATGTCGCTGGAGCTGCATCTGGCCACCTGCCAGTAGCAGTAGCGCAGGCAAGGCAGGCGCGGCAGGCAGGCAAGCAAGCAGGCAGGCAGGCAGGCCGGCAGGTAGGCAGGCAGCCAGGCAGGCAGGCAGGCAGGCAGACAGGCAGGCAGGTAGGCAGGCAGGCAGGCAGGCAAGTAGACACGCAGGCAGACAGGCAGGCAGGCAGGCAGGCCGGCAGGCAGGCAGGCAGCCAGGCCGGCAGGCAGGCAGGCAGACAGGCAGGCCGTCAGGCAGGCAGGCAGGCGCTCACCAAAGGCTGGGAGAGCAGGGCCGGCGCTCGAGTAGGCGCACGACAGCGGCGACGTCGGGGCCGCAAAACCGGCTGCAGAGCAGGGCCGAAACAGCTGGAGGGCGGGGCCGCGTCAGCGGCAGTAGCAGGGTGGGGCCGCGTCAGCGGCAGGTCGGGGTCGTGGCAGCTGCAGGGCGGGGCCGCATCAGCGGCAGGTCGGGGCCATGGCAGCTGCTGGGCGGGGCCGCATCAGCGGCAGGTCGGGGCCGAGGCAAAGGGCCGCGCGCGGCCGCGCTAGGGAGTAGCGGGCCGCGCGCGGCTCGGCGCGGGCTGTTGCGGGCCGCGCGCGGGCCGTGCGAGGCAGGAGCAGGCCTCGCGCGGCTCGGCACGAGCTGCTGCGGGCCGCGCGCGGGCTGCGCGAGGCCGTAGCAGGCCGCGCGCGGCTCGACGCGGGCTGCGCGGGCTCGGCGCGGGCTGCGCGCGGCAGCTGCGAGCTGCGCGCGGCTCGGTGCGGGCTGCGCGCGGTTGCAGCGGGCTGTGCGCGGCTCGGTGCAGGCTGCGCGCGGCTGCAGCGGGCTGCGCGCGGCTCGGTGCGGGCTGCGCGTGGCTGCAGCGGGCTGCGCGCGACTCGGGGCGGGCTGCGCGATCTCGGTGCGGGCAGCGCGCGGTAGCAGCGTGTGTGCGGGCCCGACAGGCGTGTAGAGGCGGCGCGCGGGCCTTACGGGCCTCTAGGGGCAGCGCGCAGGCAAGGCAAGGCAAGGCAAGGCTACGTGGGGTAGCGCGGTAACCGCAGCGGTAGGTGGGCCCGAAAAAAAAAAAAAAAAAAAAAAAACGGTCCTACGGACCTTAGTGCTCTGAAACCATGTTAGAATCTAGCAGCAGGAATGGATGAACTAACAGGATGCAGGAGTACAAGTAGTAAACCCTAACTAGGTTGTACCCCATATGGGCTACCCCACTACAGCCTAGACAATATGCAGCATATATAGTTTGACACCGCCCTCCCTTCCGCGGCTTCCGTAGTGGAGGGGGGGGGGAAGGGGGAAGGGGAGATGTGGGGGCGGCGGGTGTGAGCCTCCAGCAATCCGTCCCTCCCCTCTCTCTTCCTCTTTTCCTGCAGCACTAGTTGCTGTAGGAGAAAGGGGGGGGGGGGATGAGAGATGGTAAGGGAGGGTAAGAGAGAGTGGTGGAACCAGTAGCCACGCATCTGCAGCTGCCGTCCACTGCTACTGTGGCACCTACTTCTGCAGCCCCTGACGCTTCTCCCTCTACGTTCGTCTTCTTTGCTGTTGAGCTGCAAACTAAGTGCGCCACAGCACATCGCCTTCTTTGCTGTTGAGCTGCAAACTAAGCGCGCCACAGCACATCGTCTTCGTTCTCTCTTTCTTGCCTCAGGGCTTGCTGCAGCTGTCTCTGCCACCACTGCACTGGTTGTCACTGCTCTTGCGTTCTGCTGCTTTGGTCTGCTCTGTGTACCCCTGCAGGTTGTGTTCTACACTTTGCTATTCCTGTACGCAGTTAAGGGGGGATGTCCGAGTTATGTTATTATAACTGCATACAAGTCTAGCTATAAGTATAATGGTGTTACATTTCTGTTAGGTGGTGCACCTCTTGGTTGTTCCTTGTATAACTCTCTCGTCACTTCTCAATGTCAGCCCTCTTTTGGCCAACTCTCTCTCCTAAACCCTAGTCTCTACTAGCTACTATTTTAACAATTACTTGCGCAGTCTCCCCTTTCCTCCAAACTCATGTTGTTAGAAGAAGTGGCACAGCCATGAGCAGCACCAGGAACAGCAAAAAAAAAACCGTAGGGGAAGCAGAAGGAGCACAAGCAATAACAAGAAAGCTCGAGCAGTACAAAAAGAGGAGCAACAATGGTAGCAGCAACAAGAGTTGCACTTTGATTAGCCAGATTGTAAACATAAATAAAAGTTCATTCTATCCAAACTGCTTGGATAATCTCACTTTACCATTAACGATGCACATGTAGTGGAAAGAGTTGTACTGCCGATTTTCCGTTATTTGAAGCTGCCTGCCAGCACATTCTAGCACTCTGATTGGAGGAATGACGTGCTAGGCAACCAGCGGCCTTCTCCTCCTGGAAGGCTCCTCGAAACTGCCGGAGCGTTACCTTCCCCGCCCTATGGGATTGGTGGATGGGGTTGGTGGGGGGAAGGGAGGGCGGAGGAGAGGGAAGAACCTTGCCCCCTTTTTGCGAAAAGCTATCTCGCGCCAGAGATCTCACCCCACATGCGTGACCCCCCAAACGTCCTTTCTTGCGCAGATGCGCTGACAGGAGGCTTGTGCGCAACAGATTGGGAAATAGAATGAACCCTCCCGCCAATCCCGATTCGTCTGATGCATAGGGGGATGCGACGGGATCGGTGATTGGTGAATGCACCTCTCCTGTCGCGTGTGCAGATGGGTTGAATCTCCCCTTTCCGCGATGGTCCGCGAGGGACCCTCGCCCTCTGGCCTTGGGGGTCCTCGTTCGTGTCGTTCGGAGTCGCGCGAGTCCAGCGACAAAGAGGCTGCCTGTGTGCGAGCCTGCGAGCCTGCGTGGCTGCATGGCGATTCTCGTTCTTTTCAAAAGCCAGCCTCGAGCACAGCGGGACAAACTTCAATGCCATGCACCTCCCCAAGATTTTTCTCAGCCACTGATTGACTAGACTCCTCGCCTCCTAGACCATAAGACACCTGCTCCCATACCCCGGCGCGCGGTTCCTATCTGTGAAGCCGTGCATATATCTTCCGATCAGTGCAGGCAGGTGGTACCAAGTTTCAACATCTCAAGCCGATTAATTCGGTCAGTCTTCCTCGTTCAATGAAAGCTATGATGTTCCAGGACTGCCCTCCACCTGTCACCTAATTCTCCTCTCCTCTTGTTCTTCAAACCTTACGCAAACTCTTGGACAGTCGCGGTCTCTTCCCTTTGAACCAGGCCTTGAGCCTACTCCCCGCTCCGCGCGAGCGCGTGGCGGCGGGCCCTCCATGACCGCGCCACCCGCTCTGCTCATCGCTCGCTCCGTCTCGTCGTCCGATGTTTCTGGCGGGAACCTTCCCGAGGTCGCCTGGGAGCACGACGCGACGTCGGGTGCGGGCGACGGGCTCGGTCCGGGCGATGGATACTTCTTGAACGATTCTTCCAGCTGCTTTCGCATGTGCGACGGCATGTCTCTCTCCCGATCCTCTGCTCTTCCGGCGCCGGCGCTTGTGACTGCGCAAGCCGACGTGACTGCTTATCCGGGCGGCCCGCGGCAATTGGAATACCAGGGCGGCGGAGGCTGCGGCGGCGGGAACGGCGATCTGTTTTACGACTGCGACGACGCGTGGATGCGTGCAGAAGATAACACGTGGATGCACCTCGACGATCACTCCGCGGCGCTCTCGCACTTTCTTGACGGGCTGCCGACCGCTCCAGTTGACGCTTCTGATCCCCCGAACGCGTCGACTCAACCGGGTCCCGGTTCGGCGGAGCTGGTCACGAATGCGGCAGCACCTGCGGCGGAAACGGGCGCGTATATCCTCGTCGACGGCGCGGCCACGGCTGTCGACGGGCAACACTGCGCCGCAACCGTCGGCGGCTGCGATTGGTTGAGCGACATTCTTCCAGAGTCCGGGTACGGCGGGCAGCCGCATCCGCCGGAAACGGTGTTGAATCAGGAGCACGCAGTGGGAGGTCTGGCCACCAATGATTCCATGGACTATGCGCATCAAGGGAATGTGGAGCCTGCACCTGGCAGCGCTAGTGCCCCGCCGGTCCTTTCCGCTGCCCATGGTGTCGTGGAGGAGAGCGCTTTCAACCCGGTTGACCTGCAGGTACAGCCTGCCGGCGGTAACTATGACTCAAGCGCCTCCTTGCCGGCCGACGGCAGTGCGCCCGTCTTTCCCACTGGCGCGTCAACTTCCGTGGACGTGACGAATGGCTATGCTGTTCCGAACCCCGCGCGCGGAGTGTGGTGGACGCCGCAGCCTGCCGCACCTGCCACACCTGCCGCACCTGCCGCCGGCGCGGCCGCATGCGCAGCGAACGAGGCGGTGCGTGTGGGGGACGGCGGAGCAATGGCAACGAGGAAGAGGCAGAGAGAGCCGACGAAGCAGCAGCCGGTTTCGCCGACTCCGCACTCACACGATCCGCAGCAGCAGCAGCAACTGATTCCTAGTACAGGCGAAGCGAACCGCCCTGCTCTCGCGCCGCCTACGCGTGGCAGGGGCAGCAGCAGGAGCAGCAGCAGCAGCGGCGGCGGCAGCAGCAGCAGTGGGGGAAGCGGGAGCACGAGCAGGAACAGCCGTGCGGATGGAGCGCTTGTCTGTGCCCTCAGGCGCTGCTTGAACGCGCATGCGCGCAAAGGCGCGGAAGATTCCGCTTCTAAGAAGGCGGAAGGCGCAGCGGAGGTGGCGGCGGAGGTGCGCTGCCGGGGGGCTGCTGCTGGGACTGGCCCAGCAGCAGCGAGCGGGGGACAATCAAGAACTGCCAATGTTCCGTGTGAGAACGTTATATCGGCTACTTCCGCGGGAAGAGATGGCGCCGTGCAGCGGACCGTCCTGTCCCAGTCGCAGCCATCCTCCCAACCTCAACCGCTAGTTCTGCCACAGGCGCAAACTGTGCAGTTCGCCTCCGCTCCCGCCGTTTCCACCGTCGCCACTGCAGCCGCTCCCATCCCGCACCGTCCCGCGGCCCCCGTTCGCGTGTCTCCGCCACCTGCTCCCGCAATTGGCGCGGCACCTCCAACCGCTGCACCCTGTGCTGCTCCCGCTGCCGCTGCCCCAACCCCAACTGCCGCGCCTCCCGCGACGTGCCTTCCGCCCACTCCCGCAGCTAGCAGCGCTCCCGGCGGACCCGCCAGGGCGGCCAGCACAGCGGGCGGGGGAACCGAAGGGGAAGGCGTTGGCGAGGCGGAGGGGGAAGAGGGCAGCTGGGAGGACGAGGAGCAGGAGCGCAGGCGGAAGCGGCTGATGCGCAACAGGCAATCCGCGCTGCAGTCGAGGCAGCGGCGGAAGAGCTATGTGTCGGAGCTGGAGGGGAGGTGCGCGGCCCTGCAGGCAACCATAGGGCAGCTCCGGCAGGTGGTGGCTGTTACCGCATATGAAAATGGCGCGCTAAGAGACGAGCTTGCTCGCCTGCACCAGATGTGGGCTGCAGGAGCAAGCACCGCTGGAGCCATGGGGGTCGCCGGAGTGGCTGGTGTTGGGGCGGCCGGTGGTACTTCCAGCGAAGAAATGAGGGGGGAGGAAGAGGTGGAGGAGGGGAAGCGGGAGGGAGGCAGTGTGTCGGGAGGAGGTGTGCGTGCTGATGGAGCAGAGCCTGCAGTGCTTGAAAGCGGTATGCTTCGCGGCAACTCTAGCTCAAGTCCTGGTGTCTCCCTGTCGTATTCCATCTCTTCCTTGCCATGTCATGTGCGCTAGGTTTGTTCCTCTGCGCGCGCACTCACCTTCCCTTGTTCCCTCGTGTCCTATCATGTGTGTGCAGACTCCCTGCCGTCGGAGTCCCTGCTGCGTCACCACCGTCATCTCAGCCAGACCATGGCCTTCCTCCTCACCCTCTTCTTCCACTGGGCGCTCTTCCTCTGGGTGCTGCTGCCGCCGCAGCAGCTGCAGCTGCAGCACCTCCCCCCCTTGGCCTGCTCCGCTGGCCTCTCCCTCGCCTACCTCTCCCTCCTCTTTCTCGCCCGCTCCCTGCTGCAGCGCCTGCCGCAGCACGCCCCGTGCAAACAGCAAGTGCGGCAGCGGCAGCGGCTGTGCAGGCGACATTTCCTGGAGGGCAAGGCGCTAGCTGCTCTGTCTCCCCTGCTCCCAGCAGTGGGGGAAGCTCTGGTGGGTGTGCATCAGCAGCAGCAGGAGACAGGCAGCCACAGGCTAAGGCAGCGACAGGGGCAAAAGCAGCCAGGCAGAGGCGCAAGGGGCGGGTGTGAGGAACGGTGGAGCTGAAGGAACTGTGCAGCTGGTGCTAAGAAGAGCAGGGGTGCAAGGAACAGTGGGGTTTGGCCCTCTCGTGGAGGGTGATGGCAGAGCCCATGGGCTGTGCAGGGTACTTCCGAAGTGTTGTTTCTGTGAATAAGTGATGCAGGGCCTGTGAGACAGACAGGGCAGGCTCGAAGGAGCTTGTGGTGTCGGAGCGACCTGCTACCATAAGCTGGATGCTGTGCTTTTACCGTAAATGTGACCAATAGCATGTTGTACTACAGAAGGATTGATGCTTTCTTTTTTGTTTGTCTGTTATTTTCCCCCTCTGTCAAATGTGGATATGTTTTGAGAAATAGCACTAGTTGTGAACTGATTGGTGCACAAACTCAAGCTAGACTACCGGTAGATCCAGCTGGCATGAACGATATTGTTGATCAGCCAGAGGGCTCCTGTTATCAGGGTAAAATACCCTTCTTGCACTGACTGGCGGCCGCTTTTTTTCAGTACCTTGATTTATTACCCTAGGCCAGAAAGTGTAAGTTTTTTTGTACCCTTTAAGGAACTTCTTTCTCTGGCTGTACAGTGTACAATTCCAGTTATACGATACCGTACTAACAACAAACGCTCAGTAGCAAGACGAAGCACTATACTGACCCCGTCAAAATACTTCCACTACCGAGACCCAAACCTGCGACCTTACAGACCTAATTCCTAACCTAACCAACTGAGCCACTAAGAGCGTGTTCCTACAGCCTCTAGTCAGACTGGCCTCTTGTCAGACTCGAGCCAAACACTAAAATTTTGGATTGAACAGGTTTTGTAATTGACGTATTTTTGTTGCTTGGCGAAGCGCTCTGCAAAACGCGTGGGTGATGTGGTACTATGCAACACTCATGCAAAATTGCAAAGGACCAATCTCGTGTTCTGACAAGTCACAGGCGATTGAAACGTGCGTTTGGGGGCTGAAGAATATTCGTATGCTTCAAACCCGACAAAACAGTGTCTTTTCACACGTGTTTCAACGATTTGCTGACACTTTTTGCCGAAACAACAGGCATATGTGAAAGGTTTCGTGCGACCAATTCGTTGCACAGTACTGGTTTATCTTCACGTCAGAAATCCGTGTTTATAAAAAAATCACTCGAAGCACCAAGTCTAATCAGAGGTCAGCCTGATAGGGGCCCGCAGGATCGTAACCTAGCTCTAAGTGTTGACCTTGAATACTTGTGCGTTCTTTGAACTTTCCCACCCCCTACCAGGATCTAACCTCTTTGAACTTTCCCACCCCCTACCAGGATCTAACCTTTTGGATCATGTAATTCGCTGAATATCGGCATTCCAGTCATGCATGGCACCTGCACTACAGCCGCACATACAGACCAAACAGACCAGCGCAGTATATATGCTTGTTGAGATGCTGTTAGTACCATATTCTTGCCAGTCCACTAAATTACGCCATCTACGCTAAAGCCAGGGTCACAAGTAGATTAAGTGCTTTGCAGTTGATGGTCTAAGTTTGGTTGTGATTGGGTGGCGAAGTTGAAGGTTTGAAGTGGGTTGAAGCGAGGGGTGCGAAGAAAACTCAAGTCGCTGGGTGTACCCAAACCTTCTAGGCTTGGAAACTTGGCTCAGAGCCAAACCTAAAATGCCCCCAACTCATCGAAAGTCTCAAGTACCCAAAAGTGTTGTGCAATCGCTTCTGGGGCAGTGACCGGGTGTGTCGAAAGCTGACTTTTCAACCCAACCAGAAAGAACTTCGTGAACAGAAACTACGTAACCTAGCTTCAACTGCTTTGCAGTTGACGTCCCCTTAGCTTACTTGAGACCCTTGCTTTAAGAACACTAGGTTCTAACATTTTAGATCCACATGATTTGGGAGATTTCAGAGCTCCATCTCCGCCTTGTACCTGCACACAAGCGTGCATACTGACCAAACCGACCCACGCATAATTTTCTCTGTTTAAGTTTAGTGAATACCAAATATTTTTTCGCATTTCCTTCAAAATTTATCATTCCCCACCCCCCTACCAGGTTCTAACCCTATAGATCTATGTAATTCGCCAAATATAGGCATTCCAGTCGTGCATGGAACCTGGATTACAGGCGCGCATAGCGACAAAACTCACGAGCACATTACTTATGTTTGTTGAGATAAAGTTACTATCATTTTCTTATCAGTCCATTAGAATACGCCATCTACTTCAACAACACTAGGTTCTAACCTTTTATATCCACATAATTTGGGAGATTTCAGAGTTCCAGCTCCGCCTTGTACCTGCACACAAGCGTGCATACTGACCGAACCGACCCACTCATCATTATCTCTGTTTAAGTAAAGTCAATACCAAATATTTTTTTGCATTTCCTTCAAATTATATCATTCCCCACACCCCTACCAGGTTTAAACCTTTTGGATCTATGTAATTCGTCAAATATAGGCATTCGAGTCGTGCATGGTACCTGCACTACAGGCGCGCATAACGACCGAACTGACGAGCGCATTACTGATGTTTTTAGAGATGCAGTTAGTACCATATTCTTACCAGTCCACTAGATTAGGCCTTCTACTTCAACAACACTAGCTTATAACCTTTCCGATCCACACCATTTGGGAGATTTCAGAGTTCGAGCTCCGCCTTGTACCTACACACAAGTGTGCATTCTGACCGAACCGACCGACGCATTATTGTCCTTGTACAAATACAATCAATACCATATGTATTCCCATTTCCTTATACCATTCCTCACCCATCGACCATGTTTTAACCTCTCGGATCTATGGAATTTAGCAGATATTGACATTCAGTCGTACATGGTACATGCACTACAGTTGCGCATACCAAACTCACGAGCGCATTACTAGTGTTTTTGGAGATGCAGTTAGTACCATATTCTTACCAGTCCACTAGATTAGGCCTTATGAACAACACTAGCTTATAGTCTTTCCGATCCACATAATTTGGGAGATTTCAGAGTTCGAGCTCCGCCTTGTACCTACACACAAGTGTGCATTCTGACCGAACCGACCGACGCTTTATACTCTTTGTACAAATACAATGAATACCATATGTATTCCCATTTCCTTTAAATTATACTAGTCCCCACCCCTCGACCATGTTTTAACATATCGGATCTATGTAATTTAGCAGATATAGACATTTCAGTCGTACATGGTACACGCATTACAGGCGCGCATACCGACGAAATCGACGAGCGAATTACTGATGTTTTTAGAGATGCAGTTAGTACCATATTCTTACGAAACCACTAGTTTAGGCCTTCTACTTCAACAACACTAGCTTATAACCTTTCCGATCTACATCGTTTGGGAGATTTCAAAGTTCGAGCTCCGCCTTGTACCTACACACAAGTGTGCATTCTGACCGAACCGACCGACGCATTATTCTCTTTGTACAAATACAATGAATACCATATGTATTCCCATTTCCTTTAAATTATACGATTCCTAACCCCTAAACCATGATTTAACCTATTGCATCTTAGTAATTTAGCAGATATAGACATTTCAGTCGTACATGGTACATGCACTACAGGCGCGCATACCGACCAAACTGACCAGCACATTACTTGAGGATGTTTTTAGAGATGCAGTTAGTACCATATTCTTACCAATCCACCCTTCAACAAAACTAGCTTATAACTTTTCGGATCCACATAATTTGGGAGATTTCAGAGTTTGAGCTCCGCCTTGTACCTACGCACTAGTGTGCATTCTGACCGAACCGACCGACGCATTATTCTCTTTGTACAAATACAATGAATACCATATGTATTCCCATTTCCTTGGAATTATACTATTCCCCACCCCTCGACCATGTTTTAACCTATCGGATCTATGTAATTTAGCAGATATAGACATTTCAGTCGTACATGGTACATGCACTACAGGCGCGCATACCGACCAAACTGACGAGCGCATTACTGATGTTTCTAGAGGTGCAGTTAGTACCAAATTCTTACCAGTCCACTAGATTAGGCCTTCTACTTCAACAACACTAGCTTATAACCTTTCCGATCCACATAATTTGGGAGATTTCAGAGTTTGAGCTCCGCCTTGTACCTACGCTCTAGTGTGCATTCTGACCGAACCGACCGACGCATTATTCTCTTTGTACAAATACAATGAATACCATATGTATTCCCATTTCCTTGGAATTATACTATTCCCCACCCCTCGACCATGTTTTAACCTATCGGATCTATGTAATTTAGCAGATATAGACATTTCAGTCGTACATGGTACATGCACTACAGGCGCGCATACCGACCAAACTGACGAGCGCATTACTGATGTTTCTAGAGGTGCAGTTAGTGTCAGAATGTTATTCTCTAGCCTGTAGTGGGGTGCTCTGTAGCGAGTACAACCCATCTAGGGTTTGCTATATGTATCCTCATTGCTGCTAGTGAAAACCCTCTTCTTTTGCCTAAACTGTCTCTTGCCTAGCTAGGACTCTCCTAGCTATGGCTCCTAACACTACATACTATTTTGACATGGTATCAGAGCTTAACGTTCCTGGCCTGTGGGCCCACTTCACTGCTTCCGCTGCTACTGCTACTCCCTGTCCGCCGCGCGCCCCGTGGTGCGCGGCGTCGAAATTAGGGTTTTCAGCCCGCCGTGCGCCCCGAGGCGCGCGGCGGTTTTCTGCCCGCCGTGCGCCCCGAGGCGTGCGGCGGTTCTCTGCCCGCCGTGTGCCCCGAGGCGCGCGGCGGGTTTCTGCCCCGTCACTCGGCGCGTCGCCCCCGGGAGGCGCTGCGACGGGCGACGGGGACCCGCGCGTCGCCCCCCGTCGCCCGTCGTGGCCTGCGCGCGGCCCGTACGGGCTGCGCCAGGCCCGCGCGCGGCTCGTACGGGCTGCGCCAGGCCCGCGCGCGGCTCGGACCGCCTGCGCGCGGTTCGGGAGGCTGTGCCAGGCCCGTGGGCGGCCCGTTCTTCGCTGCCCCTGTCCTCCCCGCTGTCCCCCATGCTTCGGGAGGCGCCCCGCCCCTCCTTCTGCCCGTTCTCCTGGATTAGGGTTTGGGGGTGGGGGGTATGGGGGTGCAGCTTCTGAGTGCCGTTCCCTGCTCCTCCTCCTCCTCCGTCTCCCTGTGCTGCAGCTGCCGCTGAGGGGGGGTGGACCTGTTGGAGCCGACGGAGTGGTACTAAGGGGGGGGTGAAAGGGGAGTGGAGCTAGCGGTGTAGCAGCGGGTGTGTGTTAGGGGGAGTGGGA